CTTGTTGTAAGCTTAATTTAAAAGAATTTGTATTATTTCTAGACTTTTTTTTTACTTGTTTTAAGTGATTGTATTAAATAAAATGATCTCACTATATTGGCAGATAATCTTGCTTGATAATCTTGAAACCAGCAACGTTATCTGCCAGTATAGTGAGATAATTTTACTTAATAAAATGACCTAAAACAAGTAAAAAATCTGGTAATAAGTTAGATAGTCGTATAATAAGTGCACAACCATCTCAAAATGGGAAATGTTAAGATATATCGACTAGATTTAAGATCATTCCACTTGACAAGATACCATTTTTTGCAGTGTAGCACGCAAAAGTTTGAACACCCCTGCTCCAATGACGTGTTTTGTCATTGTGTCCTATACAGAGAACAAACTTAAATATGACATTTTTGTGGACAATTTCTATTTATTTGCTGAGCTCACCAATTTAGATGTTCTAGAACTTCTGCACAATACAGGATTTTTTCTCCCCCAATATTTTAAACTCAGCAAATAAACAGTAATTGTAAAACAGTAAAGTGTGTTCACTGTAGAGGATGTGTACTTACAGTCACTAAGAAAATCAACAAAATATAAAGTAATCTGATCAGAAGCACCCAAACTGTGCCTTTCTACCCACCTTATGTTCACTAGACGTTGCTGGGACTTCAATCCAGGAATCTGATTAGAACCAGGACTCATATTGACCAGTCCTTTTAATGTTTGTGTGCTGATATTGGATTAGATTCTTCGCTGTGACCTTACTAACAGCAACAGATCTAAGACTGGCTTCACGGTGAAACTTTCATGCAACTACTTGCAAGTTGTGAGTTGCCTGCAACATCATTTCCAGGCAACTTTACAGTTGTATGCAACTTATTCAGTTACTCCATCAATTAGCCAGATTCACAACTCGTACACCCTATTGTTCTCACTAGAAAGTCATCTGTTAGGTGTAATTTACATATTTGCCTCATTTTTATCGTCTCAATTTTTTATGGTTATGATTACCATTCTTTTTATCTATACATTTATATACCAATTCCTTGTTTCTACGCTCATTGTCCATTTTATCAGCTCCACTTACTGTATAGGTGCACTTTGTAGTTCTACAGTTACAGACTGTAGTCCATCTGTTTCTCTGCATACTTTGTTAGCCCCCTTTTACCCTGTTCTTCAGTGGTCAGGACCCCCATGGACCCTCACAAAGCAGGTGTTATTTGGGAGGTGGATCATTCTCAGCACTGCAGTAACACTGACGTGGTGGTGGTGTGTTAGTGCTCTGCTCTGTGAGGGTCCATGGGGGTCCTGACCACTGAAGAACAGGGTAAAAGGGGGCTAACAAAGTATGCAGAGAAACAGATGGACTACAGCCTGTAATTGTAGAACTACAAAGTGCACCTATATAGTAAGTGGAGCTGATAAAATGGACAATGAGCGTAGAAACAAGGAGGTAGTCATAATGTTATGCCTGATTGGTGTATATGTGGCTTTTATCTGTCTATTTGTCTATTTATACTAGATATTCTTACATTGGTTATCTTTACTGTATATTTCAGTTTTTATCTGTTGAGTGTATGTTAAGCCTACACTGTCCTAATGCATTCAGTGGTATATTCCATTGCAATACCTAAACATGTAATGCATTGAAACATACTGATAAGGCATATCTTCCTGAAATTCTTTTGTTAATGTGTTTCATGAACAACTGTCATTTAAATTAAAGTTCTGACAGTCTAAACATTTCTTTGTCTCTCACCGCCTGCTTCAGTCCACTGCTGCTCCCATAATCAGTTTGATCATCCTTCAAAAGAGCTCCATAGTGCTCAGACTAATGACTGATCATCACATTGATTTATCAGTCTACTAAGGCTTTAGCAGAGCTCAGTAACACTGAGATTAATAACTGATCATCACATTGATTTATCAGTCTACTCAGGCTTTAGCAGAGCTCAGTAACACTGAGATTAATAACTGATCATCACATTGATTTATCAGTCTACTCAGGCTTTAGCAGAGCTCAGTAACACTGAGATTAATAACTGATCACATTGATTTATCAGTCTACTCAGGCTTTAGCAGAGCTCAGTAACACTGAGATTAATAACTGATCATCACATTGATTTATCAGTCTACTCAGGCTTTAGCAGAGCTCAGTAACACTGAGATTAATAATTGATCATCATATTGATTTATCAGTCTACTCAGGCTTTAGCAGAGCTCAGTAACACTGAGATTAATAACTGATCATCACATTGATTTATCAGTCTACTCAGGCTTTAGCAGAGCTCAGTAACACTGAGATTAATAACTGATCATCACATTGATTTATCAGTCTACTCAGGCTTTAGCAGAGCTCAGTAACACTGAGATTAATAACTGATCACATTGATTTATCAGTCTACTCAGGCTTTAGCAGAGCTCAGTAACACTGAGATTAATAACTGATCATCACATTGATTTATCAGTCTACTCAGGCTTTAGCAGAGCTCAGTAACACTGAGATTAATAATTGATCATCATATTGATTTATCAGTCTACTCAGGCTTTAGCAGAGCTCAGTAACACTGAGATTAATAATTGATCATCATACTGATTTATCAGTCTACTCAGGCTTTAGCAGAGCTCAGGAACATTGAGATTAATAACTGATCATCACATTGATTTATCAGTCTACTCAGGCTTTAGCAGAGCTCAGTAACACTGAGATTAATAACTGATCATCACATTGATTTATCAGTCTACTCAGGCTTTAGCAGAGCTCAGTAACACTGAGATTAATAACTGATCATCACATTGATTTATCAGTCTACTCAGGCTTTAGCAGAGCTCAGTAACACAGATTAATAACTAATCATGTCATTGATTTATCTGTCCACTCAGGCTTTAGCAGAGCTCAGTAACACTGAGATTAATAACTGATCATCACATTGATTTATCAGTCTACTCAGGCTTTAGCAGAGCTCAGTAACACTGAGATTAATAACTGATCATCACATTGATTTATCAGTCTACTCAGGCTTCTAACAAGCATGTTTGCCACACACGATGTGCTGATTCTAAAATGGTTCATAAACAAGCATTGATGGTGTTTCTTTGAAGATTTTTTAGTGGGTAAGTATTCTACTGTATTCTGAATACTGATTTTACAAAATAGGACTGAATTCCTGGATTCCTGAAAATGTTTTCCCGATACCTGTATTCCATTACATCCCAACCCTGAATTAATATGACCTAAAACCTGTCGAGAAGACGAGAGTCCACAAGCGAGAACCAAGGATTCTGAAGGATCTGAAGAGATTTTATACAGAAGAATGACCTCAGAACCAGCATTCAGCCTAATGAGATAAGACTCTGGGTAATTCTGTGCAATTTTAGGTGAGTTTTGAACAATTAGAGTTCCATGCTTTATATATTTTAAGTAGCCTATGTAATCCTGATACATTTGTTCCATTACTCCCCAGGATTTGAGCAAACCCACGCCTGGTTAGTGGACAAAGAGCGGGTGGGGGGATTGTCATGGTGGAGTGCAAACCACCCTTGAGAAGGTTTGTTCTCAGTTACAATGGTGGTCTCACGTCAGCAGTTAGAGTGAGGTTATATGTTGGACTTGCTAAATGATCTTTTGTTCTAAAGGGGTATTGGCCAACATAGACAGACAGAAGAGAGGAGAGAGAGAAAAAGAAAGAGAGAAGGAGAAAGAAAGAAAAAAGAAAGAAAGACAGAAAAGAGAGAGATAACAAGAAAGAAAGAAAAAAGAGAGAAAGACAGAAAGAAAGAAAGAAAGAAAGAAATAACAATAAAGAGAGAAAGAGAAAGAAAGACAAAGAGAGAGAGAGAGCAAGACAGAGAAGGAGAAAGAAAGAAAGAAAGAAAGAGAGAGAGAAAGTAAGAGTGATAGAGACTAAGAAGGAAGAGAGCAAGGGAAGAGAAATAGAGAAAAAAGAAAAAGTCAAATAAGGAGAGATGGAGAGAGAGACAGGTGGAGAAAAAGAGAAAACTGAGGAAAACGGAGAGTGATAAAGAGAAAGAAAAGTGAGGGAGGGAGACAAAGAGAGAAAGAGGAAGAGAGATGGGGAGAGAAAGAAGAAGAAGAAGAAGATGACGATGATGATGATGATGATGAAGAAGAAAAAGAACAAGAACAAGAAGAAAGAGAGAAAAAGAAAGAAACATAAACAATGATCTGGGAGAGGGAGAGAGAGAGAGAAATGGAGAAAAAAGAGAAAAGGAAAGAAACAGACAATGAGATAGAGAGAGAAATAGAGAGAGAGACAAAGAGAAGAGAAGGAAAAAGAAAGAGGGGGAGGGATAAAGACAGAGAAACAGAGAGAGAGAGAGAGAGGGGGGGATGGACAGAGAAAGAAAGAAAGAAAGAAAGAAAATGAAAGAGACAGTAAGCGAAAGAGTGATAAAGAGTAAGAGGGAGAGAGCAAGGGAAGAGAAATAGAGAAAAAAAGCAAAAGTCAAATCAGGAGAGATGGAGAGAGAAAGAAGAAGAAGAAACAGAGAAAAAGAAAGAAACAGATAAACAATGGCTTTTATTTATCAAACGTCTTGTAGTAAAAACAGTGATCTGGGATCAGCTTATGATTTTATATAACACTGAATAAATTCCGTCACCTGATGAGACCTGATCTCAGATCAGCGCTCTCCGTCCGAGATGCTTCATAAGTGTGGGCCAATGAGAGGGAGAGAAAAGGAGAGTGTGTGAAGTAGATATGATCTATTAAACGCGTCGCTATATTTACTGTATGTTTTCATGTTCTTCTGCGTTTTGCCTATAAAACTGTGTCCTATAAACTCTAAGCGCAGACTGTGAATGTGAGTCTGAGACAGAGCGTGATCTGGGGGGGCACCGCCTTAAGGCGAGGGGTTTCACTCACTTAGTCATGGCGCGAGACACGAAAGCCTGACGTGAGGTCATTAAGGGGCTCGTTGCACATACAGGCGGACACAGCAGGTTATAAATGTGTCCAGCTTTGCGCAGAGTTCAACACTGAGAACGGCCTTAGACGCGCGTGAGGAAACTCAGCATCTCAAATAAAGGTAAACTGAGAAACTGCTTCTCTTCTCAGGTGATGATGATGATGATGATGAATGATGATGATGATGAATAATGATGGATGATGACAGTTTTGATCGCTCTGGAGGAATTCTGTGTTTGTTTATTCTTTCCGCGAGGAGTAGACAGGCTTAATTACGTCATAGGGGCAGCATTTAATTACAGTATCTTTTGAATGAATTGAATGAAAACATCTCTCACGCTACACAACAGTAAAGGAGTGTATTTCTTCACTGACTTTTGATGAGAAAAGGTGAATATTATAGTCTTATTTGTTTACCTGATGATTATTTAGTTTTGACAAAGCAGTAAAAGAGACTTAATTAATAATTTGTATTTATTATAAGACACTGTATTATTCCTACACTGTAAACTCCAATTAGTTGAGTTTGCTTTTAAAATTTATGCAAACGTATTGTTTTGAAAAAAATACTTAACAGATTTGCTTAGATAACTTTATATCTGAGTTATATTTACTTTCTAATTTTCATTGATCCACATTTCTACAGCAAGTAAAGTTAACTCTTAAACGGCGTCCACTGACCTGGCAGTGCTTATTCACGTCCTCCTTACTTTTGAATTATTATGGTTAACTTCAATCTAATTCTTCCTTGTCTAAACTATTGGCATCAATTAAATCAGCTCCATTATATTAAATGGACTGACTTGTACAGTAAGGGATAAATGGCTTAGATAAGACTCTAATAGTTTAAAGATGCAGTGTGTAAGATTTAGCGGGGATCTATTAGCAGAAATGGAATGTAGTATATGTGTTTATGTTATGTTATCTTAGAAATTTAGCTTAGAATGAGCCCTTCACATCTACATAGGGAGCGGCTCCTCTTCCGACAGAGGTTGGGCCACCATGCTGCTAGGGTAACCCAGAATGGACAAACCAAACACCGGCTCTAGAGAGCGCCTTTGTGCTTTTTATGTTGAAATCGCAGCTTGAGTTTGGTGGCGCTAAAGCACCGGTTGGGAGACGTAGAAAGAAGAAGAATCAGTGGTTGCTGTCGGTGCTGGCTGACCATTTTGTGTTGTGAGAAGTTTGAGAACCCAAATTTTGACTTATAATCTAGCACAAGAAAAAGGCAAGGGAGGGTGAATCTTCACCATCGAAGAAACGAATATGTGAAGAAGCAAAATCCTACACACTGCACCTTTAATGCATACTCCGGTCAGGCATAACATTATGACCACCTCCTTGTTTCTACGCTCATTGTCCATTTTATCAGCTCCACTTACTATATAGGTGCACTTTGTAGTTCTACAGTTACAGACTGTAGTCCATCTGTTTCTCTACATACTTTGTTAGCCCCCTTTTACCCTGTTCTTCAGTGGTCGGGACCCCCATGGACCCTCACAGAGCAGGTACTATTTGGGTGCTGGATCATTCTCAGCACTGTAGTAACACTGACGTGGTGGTGGTGTGTTAGTAGTGTGTGTTGTGCTGGTACGAGTGGATCAGACACAGCAGTGCTGCTGAAAACTTAAATTGAAAAACTTACACCGATTGAAAGAATCGTTAGAATTAGGTTGAACCGACGAGCCGTTTTTTACAGTGTAATTATCACCGTCAGCCATCCCTGATTAGCTGAAGGAGGTGTGCTAGATATGAGTTGAAAGTAAAACCTGCATTATTTCTCTAGGAGGAGGGCTGATCTAAACAAAGCCATTCAGAGTGGTTTGGTGTGAAATGCTCCCTTCTAGACAAACTTAATGAGTCAGAATTGTTCACAGTGGTGATAACAGCAACCAGATGTCTGAAGCATCCTTTTAACGCCTCCAAGAGGTGCCTCACAGAAAGTTATTAAGGATACTCTTCCTGATGCCTGAGACATTATTTTGTACCTCGAAAGAGTCAAGGGTCTGATTCATCCTCGCTTCACTCGCAAGGAAAAACAGTGTGAAAAGCACAAGGGAAACACACAAACTCTGCTAGCTCTGTTAGCCAAGTTCTCTTTTGTTTAAAAACTATCCAACCTATAATTTTAATAAGAAGCTAAGTTGGCTTCCTATTTGCCAGCTTCTCAATCAATTTTTTTCTGTTCCATCTTAAACAGCGCAGCAGTTACGTTCTGATGCCTGAGGCATTATAATAGTAACTGCTGCACCATTTAAAGTGGAACAGTAGACATTTTTACAAGATGCCAACTTCAGCTTTGTAGTTTTAATGCTGGTATTATCTTTTGATAAAATGATTTAAGCTATCAAAATATCCTACCTAAAGTTTTAGATATGGAGCTACCTATAAATATGCACTACAGTAGGACATATTGACAAAGACTGGCCCACTGGGAAAATTCCTGAACTTCCCGGTAGCCAGTCGGCGTCTGTTGTTAACAGTTCATGGTAAAACTACAATAAATTACTGGCTACTAGTTGCATTACTTCCCCAGTAATTTACTGCACTATATTGACCTCTTAATGGTCAGGGCCCACCGGTGGGCCCAAAGTTTTATTACACACTTCTATAACCCTAGAATAACGAGGACAGCAAGATTACTGTGATGTAGCTGCTGTACACTTACAGTAATAAGCTAAATGCTAAATGTAAATGTAAAACTAATAGTAGCCAGTGATGTACTGTAAATTTACATCTGAACAAAAGACTTATGCCAAATCTTTAAATATGTACATATAAAAAAAAAGCAAAGTAAAAGATAAACTAAAATAAAGACAACGTCAATGAACATATGTATTCACCATGTTTTGCACTGTTTGTGCACAGAATAGCTCAAATTGTACATAGTTTAACTTTGCCTATAATTTACACAAATATGTCCAATATTTGAAAAAAAAATTAAGATGGGTTAAATTGACAATAACATTATGAAAACAATATTTCACTGTGAAAAATTGTGAAATTGATAGTGTATCATGACCCCTGGTTCCTATCACCGCCACTGTAAAGAAATCTGAATCGGTAGATTCTCAATGAACTATTTCACTATTTCATCAAACCACTCTGAATGATTTTTGTTTTTCTAATAAATGTAGAATATGCAGGAATGTTGAAAAATCAGTGAAATTCGCCTTTAACATAACCATTCTACATGATGTTTGATTTACTTCAGGAATATGGAAATCAAACCACTTTTCAGGAGGCTTGGCTCGGTGGTCCGGGCCTTCTTCACCTTCCTCTTCGCCCTGGTGGTGCTTGGAGTGGTAATGTGGGCTTACATTAGTGGCATTCCAATCGTCTCTTCTCCATACGGTATCATCTCCTTTGGCTTCTATGGTCTCCTGCTTAGTCTCCACCTGCTGATCCAGAGCATGTTTGCCTTTGTGGAGCACCGGCGGATGCGGGCCCGACGCGAACCCTGCTCCTACACCAAGACTATTGGCTTCACCATCTCTGCTTACCAGGAAGACCCCGTGTACTTGCGGGAATGCTTGCAGTCGGTCAGGGCGCTCCAGTATCCTGCTGAGCTTTTCCGAATCATCATGGTGGTGGACGGGAACTCAGAAGACGACCGCTACATGATGGAGATGTTCCGGGAGGTCTTTGCTGACCAGGATCCTGGCTGCTACGTGTGGCGGAACAATTACCACACGTGGGACCCAAAAGCTCAGCAGGGGCAGGCAGCCAGCCCGTGGGGCGATGCGGGAACAGGGTTTGAGGAGGACCCTCAGCGCAGGGAGGTGGAGGAGCTGATCAGTAGCAAGAGATGTGTTTGCATCATGCAAAAGTGGGGAGGCAAGAGAGAAGTGATGTACACGGCCTTCAAAGCACTAGGACCATCAGTGGACTACATACAGGTACACAGACACTTTTACAAAATAAAAGCCCCTACATCAACTTCTTTAAATTTAAAAATGTTTACAAATATTAACAAAAAAACTGCATAATTAAATCCCTGTCATCAACAGTCATTCAAAGCGGTTTGATGTGAAATGCTCCATTCTAGAGAAACCAATTTAGAATTGTTCACAAAGTTGGTTATAGGAACGAGACGTCTGATGAGTTTCATGTTTCTAAAAGCGACCTTACAGAAAGCTGTTACACAAAGTGGATATAAGTATGCTGCCTGATGCCTTTATGATTGTTTTGATATATGATTTTGGCCTAAAACATTTTGCTCCATTCTTTGCTCCAAAGAAAATAAGTTGATGAAGTTACTTCCTGTGTAAGTACAGATGGATGATGTTAAATCTTGATGAATGATGCTTAGAAGACAATTCTGACTGTTTCAGAGAGATATTGCAAAAAAAGCGAGTGTTTACATTTAACCCCTTAACCCTCTGTTGCACGATGTTGCCTCAGGGCAACAAACTCATTTGCCTCACTTAACAGTAACACTATACATATTTAAAGACAACGATAGGGTTAACAACAAAGGGAAGAGTTTAAGTAAGTCAATAAAAAGCATGTACCCTGGTCAAACTATCTCTTAGTGGGCACATTTAAACCTCTTTTTAAACATTCAGTATCAACTGTTTTTTTGTTATGAGAATTTGCAGAAATATATTTGTTGCCTAGATGCAACACTGTGGAGTGGATTTAGCCAGTCGCAAGCCAGATCTCACCACTCCAGGAACAACGGCTCTATATCGTTTCTTCCCATTGTCGCACAATGTTGCTTCAAGGCAACATACTCCAAAGGACCCCTGAACACATTTTTTTTATGTTTTTAAATTTAATAATCAAGTCTGAAAAAATAAACCAAGGACCACTTAATGGAAGAAAAGTGAATTGAATCTAATTTTTTGATTGCTCTCACAATGCTTGCAGTAGAAGGTTAACAAGCCATGGGCCCAAAGTTTTATTACACGTTTCTCTAACTTAAGAATAGCTCCCTTAGTTTGCATCGAAGTCCCTGTAGTTACTGAACAATAAGCCTGGATTGTTAAGGGGTTAAGGAAGGCATTTCTTACACTACACCATAATAAGATAAAGGACTTATTTTTATTGACGTTTTACATCAGAAAAGATAATTACATCTTTTAGGTGTTAGGTGTTGACATGAATGGTTTAGTACACGTAACTGTATGAATGAAACATCTGCTAATCAGATGCTGTATTCTAGAGATAGGGACTCAAGTTAGCGACTCAGACTCGCCCTTAAATGACTCAGACTTGAGACTTACGACTCGTGAGATCACCCTGAAAACTGATCTGATTGGGACTGCCAACGTAAACGCAGTAAATGAATAAAATCTTTCATTCAAACGTTGCTAAGGTCAAACACAGTATTACTGCAATGCCATTCTCTTTTATCTTATGGTGGCATCGGGTTTGATGAAGCTTCAAATATTGAGCCTATCTCTGTAGTTGCTGAGCCAGACATGATCTCAGAATGAGAATACACGTCTGGGCAATACTTGTTAGACTTTTGGTGATGGATTGTGTCCGAATTTGCTGCTAACAAGGGTACATCCCATCTAAAACCGGCCCACAAACATAACAAGCCAACTAGCCAAACGCTAATGTTAGCTAATGGAATTATTTTTCATTTGCTGAAAAAATCTTTTCCAACTTTTGCTGGTAGCTGGTTTTAGATGATCGAAGTGGGTCTTTGAGGGTCTAGGTGGTTGACCAGCTGGACATCTGGCTTGACCAGACAAAACATACCCTATGCTGGACTGCTACGCTAATGCTCACACTTCTTTCGAGTTCTAACATTTTATTTTATAGTAAAAACAACCCAAAAAATAGAAGAAAGAAGAATAACACTTAACCAGCTATGGTAGAATAGCATATCTTGTTGAAAGTATGTTTTGATTTGAGTTTGTTGATTTAGCTGGTCCGCCAACATGACCAGCCTACTGTGTACTAGCTTGGTCACGCTGGTCAATTAGCTTGATCATGCTCGTCATGCTGGTCAACCAGCTTGGTCAATCTTGTCATTCTGCTCGTACAGCTAAACCATCAACTCAAACGAAAACATACCTTTTGCTGGTCAACACCCATTAACATGCTTACTGGAATGTTCTGGGGGACTTGCTAACTTATCAATGGCAGGCTTGTTGTCCATCAGACAATGCTGATTAGCAAACAACTGCCCTGCATTTTTAGTGCCACCTTTTAAGTGCCACCTCAAATTTCACACTGTTTGTTCTTACTTATGTTCGTACAAACACTGTACCCAAGTGTTCTCATTACAAGATCACATCTAGCCTCTATAATGGACAGAACGAAGCGCTACAACTTGAAAAGGATGGATTAGTTTGGATAGCAGGTATTCTAGTTAGCATGAGAGCGATGTTGAACCTGACATGTGATTTGTAAACATCTCTTCTGCATTCTCATACAACATAAAAATAATTATCCTAGTTGGAAGCAGCACCAGCGGAAATCCACAACAATGGCTTCGCAACACCTTAGCAATCACCTGGGACACACTGGCAATGGCCTAGCAACACCTTAGCAACCACAATAGGTACAAAATCTTAGCAACCACCTGGGATACCATAGCAACAGCCTAACAGTAACTTAGCAAGCCCCTGGGATACCATAGCAATGGCCTAGTAACACCTCAGCAACCACCTGGGAGTCCATAGCAACAGCAAGTTAATTACCAGATCATTTCTTTACTAGAAGTGAATCCATGTGTGATACTAATTGTCTCTAATGCAGGGATGTTCCTTTATCCTCTCCACTGTTTTTCTTTCCTCTCAGGTTTGTGACTCAGACACTAAGCTGGACCCTTTGGCCACAGTAGAGCTGGTTAAGGTGCTTGAGAGTAACCCCAAGTACGGTGCAGTAGGTGGTGATGTAATGATCCTCAACTTGAAGGACTCCTACATCAGCTTCATGAGCAGCCTGCGGTACTGGATGGCCTTCAACATCGAGAGGTCCTGCCAGTCATTCTTTGACTGCGTCTCTTGTATCAGTGGCCCCTTAGGTAAATGAGAAGCATTCGTTCATTTGAACTTTGTCCCTAAACAGTGCCAACTGCAAGAATAACCTAGCATTTAATAAACCGATTGACCTTAAAAACACCTAAAATAGAAACCTGTCCAAGTCAGAGTCAAGTGGTTTCTCAGTTCTGTCTAGAGCCAAGGTAATTACTGTTTGGAGAACTCTTTCAGAACATAAGCAAGATTCTAGGCCTGTTTCCCAGACATGGATTACGTTTAAGCCTGGACTAAAAAAATTCCCAGTGATGATTCACTGTGTAAATTCAGTGAAAGACTAGGCTTAATCCACGTCCGGGAAACTCTCTCATAGAGATTAGGTTAAATTTTCTTTTAACTCCTTAAGGTCAATTAAACGCAAGTTATGATGCATTTTTCTTCTGTGACGTACTTGTGATATCAAGGAGGGTCTCTGAGCTGAGAAGGATGTGAAACATGATCTATTTGGTTAATATTATTTTTCCCTGCCTCCTGGTACGTTGTGATATGGTCAAACCATTTTCAAGCGAGGGAAAAGTTAAAGCTTCGATCAAAGATTATGTGAAAACTGTAATTATATCTTTTAAATAATATGATGGATCACGATCATGGACACAAACTAACAAGGCAAAGCAAAGGTCAGTTGTGTAGGTGGTACGTGGACACCTGACCATCACACTTAAGTGAGGTTTTTTGACATCCCATTCCATTTATATGGAGTTGCCCCACTTTCCAGCTATAACAGCCTCTGCTGTTTTTGTGCCCATTCTGTCAAAAGAGCTTTTGTGAGATTAGACACTAGTGTTCCAATTCATCCCAAAGGTGTTCAGTGGGGCTGAGGGCAGTGCTCTGTGCAGGCCACTGGAGATCCTCCACACCAAACCCATCAACCAATGTCTTTACAGTCCCTGCATTGTACAGAGAGGCACTGGAAACAGGGAAGGGCCTTCCCCAAACTGTTGCCACAAAATTAGAATAGCATATAATTGTCTAAAATGTCTTTGTATTAGCATTCCCCTTCATTGAGACTAAGGCCTGAAACATACTTCACGCAAAGGTGCGAATGCAGATGGTTCGCACTATGCAGACGGGGTTTCACGCGTAGTTGCGTTCAAAAACGTGTCATGATTCATTTCATAACGCGACGCAAGCGTGAGCTGCATTCTGAGCGTTACAGCAAGGGGCGCTATAGCGACAGCCAAGCCTGACCGAGCGCTCTTGTACCACCAGTGCAGTTCAACTGCCATAGCAGACGAGCAGTTGACTCTCGCGCAAAGATGGCATAAAAATATGATTAATTATCGCATTTCCAATCCAAGAGGAGAGGTAAAGCAGCTCACTCTCCTCTACTGTCCACGTTTAGCGGTTTAGGCTGTTGGAATAATCCCTGCTCTATTGTCCCCTTCAGTACTGAGTGTTTCCACCAATTCTCCAGTGGGAGCATGCTTTAGACCCCTCCAGCTGACACTTGGCATTGCACATAGTGATCTTAGACTTGTGTGCAGCTGCTTGACCATTGAAACCTATTTCATGAAGCTCATAGTTCTTGTGCTTATATTGCTTTCAGAGGCAGTTTGGATCTCTGTAAGAAGTGATACAACAGAAGATTTTCAGTTTTTATGTGCTCTATGAGTTTGCCTGGTCTACTGCTTCATAGCTGAGCATGATTCAAGTCACTGAGCTCTTCTGTGGAACAGCCCATTCCACTGCCAGTGTTTGTCTATGGAGATTGCTTGGCTTTGTGCTTGATTTTATACACCTGTTAGCAATTGGTGTGGCTGAAACACCTGAACTCAGTAATTAGGAGAGGTGTCCACATATATTTGGCTATATAGTAGATGTGCCATACTATATCTGAGATTCACTTTTATTTGCTGGAAAATATGATTTATTAATAGCAATACTAACTCAGTTTGCTCCCTCTGTGCTTCAGGTCTGTATAGAAATGACCTCTTACAGCAGTTTCTGGAGGATTGGTACAACCAGAAGTTTCTTGGAACACACTGCACTTTTGGAGACGATCGCCATCTCACCAATCGCATGCTGAGCATAGGCTACGCCACCAAGTGAGTTCTGCCCTTTGGCTTTTGACACTACAAGTGAACCCACCTAGAACTGTGAAGAATGTGTGACATAATAAACATCACCACTCTTTCAAATGACATTTTGCTGTAAAATGCACCAAAAATGTGTCATGTGTCACCTTTCACCTACTTTTCATATCATTAGCTAAAGTGGGTGGTAACTAGTTCCATGTACTCCAGTACATTTTTATGGATTTGTATTTTTCTGAGTATTTTTCAGTGATAATGTTTGTATTTGCCAACTCTACTTTATACTTAGTTCCACTTTATCCATTTACACCGAGTTCCTAATTCTAATTTCTTCTTTTTGGATTCAATTTCATTCTGTTCTCTTGGTTTAGCACTTACACTGCTTTGCTAACGCTCACTTTCAAGCTTTAGCATTTTATTTCAGGCCAAAAGGATCCCAGAAATTTGAAGAATAGAAAAATAGTGCCTGACAAACAGTTACTATGCTAATAGATGTTGGATGTAGTAAGAGAATCCACTGGAGTTCTGTAGAAAATAAGTGTTCTTAAATGGTTCTTGGTTTAGCCATACATTTAAGTAAAACCTTTAACTTTTGGTCTAGAACTTTTAGACTATGTTGAAGGTTCTTCAAACCTTGTACAGATTCTTAACCCTCTTTAGAAAAAAAAATGGCACCTTCCTTTTGAAGTGTATACTTTCACCTCTACTTTACTGGGCTACTAAGTTGGTCAACCATCTGAGTTTTGGCTCTATCGTGAGGAAGTTGTGGGTTCAAGACCCAATGGTTTCACTGAAAGTCCACCACTCAATGCCATGCTAGCTATGCAGGCATCTGTTAGCTAAGGTAATAGAATTGGCAGTTAACTTTCACCACCAAGCACGTTGAGCTATCTGAGTTTAATGTCAATTAAAGGTTTTTCCTAGAGCTGAATGTTCAAACTAAGAACCATTTCGAAACCCTTGTTTTCCAAAGTGTAGGCTACACTACCCCCCTCTGTTCCTATTCAAAATTGTCTGTAATTATTCTTACCAAGAATGGAGGTCTGACCACTCATCGTCTTGCTTTGGTCAGGTACACAGCTCGCTCGAAGTGCTACACGGAGACACCAGCCCAGTTCCTCCGGTGGTTAAACCAGCAGACCCGATGGACCAAGTCCTACTTCCGCGAGTGGCTCTACAATGCGATGTGGTGGCACAAGCATCACCTTTGGATGACCTACGAGTCCATCGTATCCGGCATCTTCCCCTTCTTCGTCACGGCCACCATCGTCCGACTCTTCTGGTTGGGCACGCTGTGGGACGTCCTGTGGGTGCTCTGCTGTATTCAGCTGATCGGGCTAATCAAGGCAGCCTATGCTTGCATCCTGCGCGGGAAAGTGGTCATGGTCTTCATGTCCCTTTACTCTGCCCTCTACATGACCAGTCTCCTGCCTGCCAAGTACTTCGCCATCCTCACCATGAACAAGAGCAGCTGGGGGACTTCGGGCCGCCGCAAGATCGTGGGCAACTACATCCCCCTGCTGCCCCTGTCTGTGTGGGCGGCCATCTTGTTGAGCGGCTTGGTCTACACAATCTACAGGGAAAGCCAGCTGGACTGGACTACAGCCGCAAAGCAAGAGGAGATCAAGTTTTTGATCTTCGGTGCCGTGGCCTACGTCAGTTACTGGCTTATAATGTGCCTCCTCTACTGGGTGTGGTTTCGCAGACTGTGCCGAAAACGTTCGCAAAGTTACAGTGTGAGTGTGTAGTATAGTTTATTATTGTTTACAGGAACTTTTTTTTAATTTATTGCCTTGTGTACAGAATGTATCATATGTTTTATTTAAGATTTTTTAAAGTTTGTTGGATTGCTTAAAGCTGATCTACAAAGACTTTGTGCAAGCATGCTTTAAAGATATGCAAGATTGTGTATTCATACTGTATTCATGCATTTTGGCACTGTGCCCCCCTTGAAACTGATACATGCCCTTGTCCTCTTAATGTGCGAGGCATTCTATTCTTGGTTCAAAGAGAAATTCCACCAACTTGTGCATAATTAACTGGTTAAGAAGGTCATTTAGAGTGGTTTGATGTCCAGAATCGTTCACAATAGTGGTGATGGGAACCAGACATCTGAAGAGTTCAATGCCTCTACAAGCTACCTCACATGAAATCGTTGCAAGTATGCTCCCTGATGCCTGAGACATTTGTTTTGATGGAAGCTTGAGGCCTAAAACCTCATTTTTAAAGGCTGTTCATGGTGGAGTGGTATATATAGGATGTTGTAAGACTAAATATGTCTTTATCACAAAAATTACATATAAAAACTCATTGTAGACATCTTGACTCGATCTCGAGTTCCTCTCACCACCACTATAAAGAAACGTGAGTCGCTAAGTATCTCTACATGATTCACATCAAACCACTCTGAATGACTTTGTCTTAATCTCAAACATTGACCTATAAAGACGAGAGATTGAGTTCCCCTGTAACTAAGACAACCTCAAGCACTTATTTATAAGCAACAGACCACTAATAATGCCTGTGGCCAGATGAGACGCTTTCGTACTGGTGATGATACTGTTGTTAATCTAGTTCATCAGTTGCTGTTCATATAAAGTTTCATGTGGTTTTTAACTTTGAACTGTTTCAAACGAATTACAAGCACTTTGTGTGGACTGAAACTGCTGGAGTAGAATGTTGCACTTGGTTCTGTTCATTTGTTTGTATCTCTGTCTGCACTTGAATGTCTATTTATGCATATTTATTATGATAACGGAGCAAGAAACATCTGACAGGAAGTATCTTTTGGAAATGTGAACAAGCGAATTATTTTTAAAACGTGAGAATAAATTATTTTCCAGAGTAAAATGTGAAAAGTCATGTTTTTGTTCTAGGAGGCATTTTAGCCTTGTTTTTGTGCTTTAGACATAAACGAAGGCTCGAAAAACAAATTAAAGTCGTGTGCAAAAGTTTGGGAGCCCCTAGTCAAATGACGTTCTTCTACAGAGAAATAGCGTCTCTGCATTTTAAGGCAGTTATTGTTTATTTGCTGAATTTAAAATATCAGAGGGTAAAAAAGGAACATAAAATGAGGCCTGTGCACACAAGTTAGCGCACATTTAATATTTTATATTTATCGTTTTTTCCAATAAATTCAATTAAAAAAAAAAAACTGTTCAGTAAAATTTGTAGAAAATTTCCAGATTTAAGTTTCTCACTTTTTCACTCAAAATATGTTATTTGAACCCGGTGATTAAACCACTGCATACTGTACAATTAAGTAAGTTTACATGCACACAATTGTGCATGTGTGATTAAAAACGTGGATAACTGGTGCGGTTGCTGGTGATGGGGTGACGTGCATAGCTGCAGTTGCATAGCTGCGTACAGCTGTACGCAAGTGTGAAAAACAAGTCATTATTTTTAGAAATGAAGGCAATATTTTGAGAAAATAAGTTAATATTTTAAGATACTAAGTCAATATTTCAATGAAATAAGTCAGTATTTTAAAAAGGTCACTAATTTGAGGTGCTAAATCAATATTTCAAGAAAGTAGGTCAATATTGCAAGAAACTGTCATTATTTTTAGACAATAACTAAGACAATATTGTGAGAAAATAAGTCTCATAATTATTTCTTTATTTTTCATTGTATCATTGTTTCTAAAAAATAAGTAATTATGTCAAGAAAGTAAATCAGTACTTTGAGTATATAAGTCAATATTTTGACATTACTGTTGCCAGAAACAGTCAAAGAGAGGGGAGAATTTTTTTGGTGTTTTTCTTTCACCTCTGGTGGAAATGGGCTTCCATACATTGCAGATATTTTTGCCATTTTATTTTTCATGCCACTACAATATCACACAAATCTTCAGCCATGATGTTGATTGTTTTTTACATATAAAAGTCATTGCAGTCACTTATCAAAATCATATTAGATTGTACATCTGTACACAGTAGAGTGTAGAGTTTTAACTCAACCATTCATTTCATATAATACTGATTGAATATGGATACAACTAATTGGCCTGCATAGCACTTAGTGAACCAAAACTGACTGGATAACTGAACTGTCCATTAAAACGTAAAGTTATTTGAGTGGAAATGCAATATCATCTCAGTGATGGCAACCGTTGACTGTGTGGATTTGATTGATAACTGGTTATCTACCACACAGCATCACATCGACCATGCTAAGAAGTGTTTGCTCGGTGGGAAGGCCTACTTGACGTAGGATGTGTCACTGTGTGGTGGTTGATGAAACTGTACTGTGCTTTTAAACTGGGTGGAGTGCAATGTTTATATCTTTATTAGGGACAACAAAGAGCAGAAAACACATGCCTGTACTATTTTGAAATACATTGTTACAGATACTGACTGTAGCATTTGATTCTTGGGCCTTTTGGCACAGGCCTTCAATAGAGTGAGATAAGAGTATGGACAACATTGGCCGGGCTCATGTTTCGGTGAACTAAGATCTTAAATGGCCCATGACCAAACCGGGCTGTTTACATAATCATAGCTTAGCTAGAGTGGCACTTTTAATCAAATATCAAACCACTGGTGTCCATGTAAATGTGCATGTAGTTAATATTGCTAATTCCCTTTAATTACCTTTCATTCAAATTAAGCTATGTGAGATACTTTAGGTGAAAAAGCAAAGAAAATAATGTCTATGCTGTAAATTAGTGATACTTATAATACCATTTATATATGATGTAAGCAATGCATGGATTATTGACACTTCTTCAACTAAACCACACTGATTCCTCATCATCCACCACCACCCACCATATACACTGAAGTCAATTCTACTTAGGATAAGGCTGTGCAAAATCAATAATGGTGGGGTCGCCCATTTCTGACCCATGGACTTTATATAGTAAATGATCGACCTTCAAGTAATTCAGGGGGTCTTATAGTGTTTGTACACTGGCTACATCACCTCATTGATGGATATGATGTTGATTTTTAGATAACTAATTAAAAAACAATTATAGTCATTCTGTTAGATTGTCCATTCCCAACAAGTTGAGTATTCCCAAAATATTGACTTAGTATGTTATAATAAAGACGTACATTCTTGAATTATTGACTTAGTATCTATCTATCTATCTATCTATCTATCTACATATATATATATATATATATATATATATATATATATATATATATATATATATATATATATATATATATAAACAAGTCAGTATTATTATTATTTTTTTAACTTAGGACCCTAAAACTTTTTCTTGGAATATTGACTTGCAAGGTCAGAATATTCACTTTTTTTCTCAAAATATTGAGTTAATAAGTTTAAGTTAAAATAATAACTTACTGTCTCAAATTATCAACATACTAAATCAGAATAATGACTTTTTATCCTGAAATAATTACTTCTTGTCAGTCACAAAATTTAATAATTCATTCAATAATTATTTTGAAATACTAAGTTAATATTTTAAGAAAATAAGTCATTATTTGGAAATACCAAGTTAATATTTCAAGAAAACAAGTCATTATTTTTTAGAAATTAAGGCAATATTTTGAGAAAATAAGTTATAAGAGGTGCTAAATCAATATTTCAAGAAAATAAGTCAATATTACAAGAAATTTTCATTATTTTTAGACAATAACTAAGATAATATTATGAGAAAATAAGTCAGTATTTCAAGACGCTAAGTGAATATTTTGAGACAATAAGTCATATTTTGAGATGCTAAGTCAATACTTAAAAAATCATCATTATTTGGAGATAATAAATCGATGTTTCAAGAAAGTAAATCAGTATTTTGAGAATGTAAGTGATTATTTTGAGAAAATGTCATTGTTTTGAGATGCTAAGTCTCAAAATGTTTGCAAAAATAAGTCATAGTTGTGAGATATTAAAATTTTATTTTTTAAAAATTATTATTTCATTATCCCAAAAGTATAGACTTAACTTCTTGACTTTCTTGACATAATTATTTCTTTATTTTTCATTGTATCATTATTTCCAAAAATATAAGTAATTATGTCAAGAAAGTAAGTCAATACTTTGAGTATATAAGTCAATATTTTGACATTACTGTTGCCAGAAACAGTCAAAGAGAGGGGAGAATTTTTTTGGTGTTTTTCTTTCACCTCTGGTGGAAATGGGCTTCCATACATTGCAGATATTTTTGCCATTTTATTTTTCCTGCCACTACAATATCACACAAATCTTCAGCCATGATGTTGATTTTTTTACATATAAAAAATCATTCCAGTCACTTATCAAAATCATATTAGATTGTACATCTGTACACAGTAGAGTGTAGAGTTTTAACTCAACCATTCATTTCATATAATACTGATTGAATATGGATACAACTAATTGGCCTGCATAGCACTTAGTGAACCAAAACTGACTGGATAACTGAACTGTCCATAAAAACATAAAGTTATTTGAGCGGAAATGCAATATCATCTCAGTGATGGCAACCGTTGACTGTGTGGATTTGATTGATAACTGGTTATCTACCACACAGCATCACATCGACCATGCTAAGAAGTGTTTGCTCAGTGGGAAGGCCTACTTGACGTAGGATGTGTCACTGTGTGGTGGTTGATTTTAGCTTTTAAACTGGGTGGAGTGCAATGTTTATATCTTCACTAGGGACAACAAAGAGCAGAAAACATATGCGTTGTACTATTATGAAATACATTGTTACAGATACTGACTGTATCATTTGGTTTGTTGACTTCTGCTGGCAAGCGTTGGGTTCTTGAAGAACAGGAGTGGAGACTTTGTCGAGGAAAAAGAAGTTTAATAACGCGCGTCTTCCCAACCAAGCAAGTCTAACTAAGCTTACAAAACGATGGACTTAAATAGTCCACCATGTAAACCACACCTTCTTGTTGTCCCTTTGTCTAAATGACCCAGACTTGATGGACAACTGCCTCTACCTTTGTAATTAAAATAGAGGTGTAAAGGGTAACAGGCATTTTCAAATTATGTCGAAAAACTGAAAAACGTCAAAAATGGAGACACAAGGTTTTCTTCTGACAACAGCGATATAACTACTACAAATGTTGGAGGAGAAAAGCTTCACATACAGTAAGTAATAGAAATTGTAAGTACACATTATGGCCAAAAGTATGTGGACACTGATGTTTGGCATTGCACATAATGACCTTACGTCACCTTACTTGTGTGCAGCTGCTCAGCCATG